TTTCCATATAATATATTTCGTAATTAATTTTATTGTATAACGTTGCCCAATTTAATGTTGTATTTTTCATCTGTTTATAAAAGTGCATTGAAATGTATATCTAAAAATATTTTTTATTATTAATTACTATTTGAAGCCAGCCACAATGTTGAAAATTAACATAAACTCAGCAGATAACCAAAACAATATTTTTGGAATTTAATTTGTTTTGATTTATTTTCAGTATTCAGGTTTAAAAAAACTTAGAAAACAGTAATATTACATCAGTGTAACCTGATGCATACAATATTATTTATATACTGTAAACATAGATAAATTATTATTATTTATATATTTACTTATATATTGTTTACAGTGCTACATACCAAACCTAATATATAAATATATAATACATATATTATATGTATTATATATTTATATAATACATATATAAGATTTATAAATAGATCTGCTGATGGCACGAGTGTTTCATATAATTAATACCAAGTTATAAATCATTATGAAATTACAATTGGTATAGATAAATACAACTACCAGTGGTTACAGACATCCATGTGATATACACACGGTATGTACAGTATAATATAAAACAATGCAAAACAGTTAATACATTAATACATTTTGAGCAACAACATGTGAAAAGTTGAGTTTATATTCTTTTACCATATTAACACCACCAAGAAAGTTGTTACTATGGTAATGAGCATTAATAAGTGACTTGAATAAACAACTAGTCTTATACCACTTTTACGCTATCAAGCCAAAACGAACACCAGTGTAAGACCGGAGCCAAAACCCATTTACACTTAACGAAGAAACTGCAGGATGAACTTGAGTCACACTCAACGAACACCAGCTGAACACCGGTGTTGAACGCTCCCCTCTATGGACTTTTTGAGGAAAACTAGATCATTAGTCTGCAATCAAGTTTAGTTTCGCAGGGGGAAGTTTAGTTTGCAGGGGAAGTTTAGTTTCGCAGGGGAAAACATTTTAATTTACTTGTACACTAAAAACTGAATTAATTTCCAAACAAAAATACAATCCAAAGCCTGGACTGTTTACACTGTTTGTTTCGATGTCAACAGGACTCGTTGACGTTCACCCATTTACAATAACCCCAACTCTGGTGTTTGAAACATGGTGTATTGCCAACAGTGAAGTAAAGGTGGGTTTACTCTGAGTCTCGCTGATAGTGTAAAAGGGGTATTAGGCTAGCTAGGCCTACTTACGAACCCCAAACTGCTTTTAAAAATAGGCATACTTGCACATCAAGTAGGTGGGCACTCTCTTAGGTGGGAGGTAATCTATTCATCCCAGAATCTCAGATAAAAACATTTTGTGGGAAAAATTGATATTGTTTTAATCATTTACTATGTTAAGGTGTGCAGTGAACTGTTCAGTGAGCAGATGACAGGAAGTTTTCATTCAGTATCACAACGTTCCCCCCGGAAATATGCTGCTAATTGTATAATATGTACTGTATAAATATAACTTATGGACAATAAAGGTTTGTACATCTGTATGTTACAAATTTCCATGTTTAATTACAACTGCTATGCTTTAATGCAATCAAGAATGCTACCACCCAGTCGTGGCCAGAATGAAGAAACTGCAGACTTGGATACATGCCTTGCAACAGCTGATCATACCGTATAAGGACACTGCTTTCTGTCCCTTTTAACCAATCACATTCAAGCTACTCAAGACCACATTTAATTAAATGTTAAAGACATCCTGAGATAAACATTATTACAAAATTTTAAATGATTACTTTATTAAGTAAGTCATTACCTTTCATTCAAGAGTAAAATTAAATGATAAACTTTATTATATATACAATATTTTTTTAAAAACCTGAATTTATATTCCGGTCTGCCAAGCACAAACAATTAAAGAAAGAATTTTTATATTTCATTAAAGAATAACAAATTAGAGTTATAAAAATAATAGTAAATGTAAAGATTTTGTTTGCCATTGGATGCATGCATACTGCCGTCACTACATTCAATTACATAGACCCTTAAAGCTGGCACTAACTGTGCACGACGGTTGTCGGCCGACACAATTCCATAAGGAACGCAACACGACGGCGTGCGCGCAATGGATCGTTTTTAATGACGATCAGTTAACATGGTGTTGTGTCGTCTAACGCTCACAGAAAGCGGAGTTGGATTTATCGTGTGACGGTCGCACGACTGTCGTACAAAGCAGTGAGTTCCTGGCTTTAAATTACCTGGTAAGACTTCTGTTCATTTACGTATATTTTGCATGTTTAATCCATGTCAACTGCATGTTTACTGCAGTCCTCTAATTATACATTTTCACAGTAAAATTCCCAATAAGACTTTTTCCAAGTATTTTCTTAAACCAGACAATCTGTTTTGCTTTATTTATTTTTTTTATGTTAATATAATACTTACAATAATTTTGGTATTTGATCTACAATTTTTTTATAATCTCTGAATTTTACTGGTGAACATGACTTCATGGTCACTATCCACACTTCATTTTTTGTACTCTGATTTGTATTCTATAGTGTTACCTATTTATATTTTGTGTGTGGAAAAAGCAATAAAATAAAATGTATAGTTTGTGCCCAAAATGTTTGTAGTTAAGTCAGGTGTCGCTGCACTGAGGATGCAGCAGCTCCTCAGGCGCCCACTCAAGATTTCCAATAATGAGGACGAATAAAGAATTTTGGAATTATTTCTAAAAAAATATCTTAATTGATTTTTATTTTAAATTTTAACACAGACAGAATATCTATAATAGGGCATTTAACCATTGTATCATGCACGTAAATAGTGTAAGGTTTAAACTAGTGATATTATCATCTACCCTTGTTGTTAGTATAGAGTGACCTTCATACCCTTTACTAGCCCTGTCCACTACCAATAGGGCCTGCTCAATATGTTAAAGTAATCATAAGGCCAGGCACACTAATTAGTCCTGACCAATCAGAGAGCCTTATTGTCTTATCTTGCCCCTTTGGCAGGGTTTGGCTTGGCATTCTTCTAATTGTAGACACTCTACATTCAACTCTACCCAATTCAACTTCTATTGTTTAAACGACTGTACTGTTTCTTATATCAATTTTTACTGTATTTACTCAACGGTTTTGAAGAGGATACAGATGTAAGTTTAACTTTATTTTATGTTATATTTAGGTTTGATTAGATTTAATTGTTATGATGTATCTTATAATATAGGCTTTATGCTGTGCAACAAGTAACATGTTCAGTAGTTTAATAGGTTGACTGCATTATGTGTATGTGCTTTGTTAATTATAATTTTGGTAACTTAGTGATTAAGTAATTATAGTTTATGGATTATTCTGTTTATTTGAGTTCTACAGCTGTCTCTTATACACATCTAGATGTGTATAAGAGACAGCAGTAGAAGTAGAGACATTTCAAAGAAAGTGTTCCTTGTGTTCGGGGACGCATTGGTTGTCAAGGTGTGACAAATTTAAGCAAAAATCTGTGCCAGCAAGACTCGAATTTGTTCGTCAAAAAAGATTGTGTATGAATTGTTTGTCTACTGGACATTATGTGGCAGCTTGCCCTAAGCCAAGCTTCTGTAAAATTTGTACAGAAAAGCATTCTACATTTCTCCACCCAACTAATAAAACTCAAACTGAAACATCAAAACGTCAACCACAAAGTGTTGGAAAACCAACATACATCAACACAGACTCAGGAAATTCAAGTACCATTAGCATGGCTTCTAAGTGTAAAGGACCAGGTGTAAGTTTAGCTGCTGTTCCTGTACGAGTAAGAGCGAAAGGAGGTAACAGGTTTGTTGAAACATACGCATTTTTAGATAATGGCTCTAACACCACTTTCTGTACGGATGCCTTGCTTCGCCAACTTGGAGCAAAATGTTCCGATGCCAATCTCTCCTTAACAACAATGAATGGAGCTAACTCGCCGATCTGTTGCAAAGTAGCCTGTTTAGATTCTGTCTCTTATACACATCTAGATGTGTATAAGAGACAGCTTAGTGATTAAGTAATTATAGTTTATGGATTATTCTGTTTATTTGAGTTCTACAGTGTGCAGATTATTTTGTTTACTTTCTACATGAAAGTTAATTAGTACAATAACCCATTCCACTTATTTACAATATTATATTTTAACTATTTCAGTGATTTTCTATAACTACTTTATAACTTTTATAATCTTATATCTATAATCTTTCAGTTCAAACCGTATCATTTTGATGAATAAACCCTTTCAACCCTCATCAAGGTGTACGCGTATAAATCCATTCTCTGTCTCGACACAATCAAAACCACATATATATAACTGGAGGTTATAAATAGTATGTTTTTTGGTAAATCGCTCACATTAAATTGGATCTTACTACGATCCCCATGGTAACATGATACCATATAAGATTAAAAATATTAACAATGATAAAATAAATAATCAACATGGACTTTGAATACAAGAATTTTGAATACAAATAATATCAACAATAATTATGTAATGTAACCCAGCAACTATTATGTTTCTAAAGACGCTCTTGGCATCCCATACTTGTTTATTACAAACTTACTTTTGTGCAGATGGATCACTTATAATGCAAATTGTCATGGTAGACTATGTTAGGTGGTGTTAGCAAGGTTTTTTTTAGTGTCTTGTGGGTAGGCAGCCGGACATGTTTGTTGCCGGTAGTTGCGCCTCTTCAACTGTACGAATGGTAACTGTATTGTGTGGGTTAAGTGTTTAATAAATCATTGATATTTAAGTAGTTTTGCCTATCGTATTTTGTTCAGTTGTCTAACTTCACAGGTTCCAAAAGGCAGCTCCCACTGGACTTTCGTGACAAATTACATTAATATTAAGTATCATGTAATTTCAATTTAATTTTAAACAAATTTAGTTAAATTTAGCATTAATCAAATTGCTGTTCTGTTGCCTTAAATCTGAATAATTTAACCATATAACAAATTATCATAAATTAACATTTAAAGAACATTTGAACTTTGAACTTACCTTCAATTGCAGAAGCTGTTATACTGTCATCTGGTGTATTAAAAAGATCTGACGAAAATGAAGTAAAACTAAGTAAAGGAACACATTGATCAACAAATTCAATTTATTTCTATTAAACAGTATTGTTCTTTCTGTGTATATAATTTATATATTTTATATTTAAAGTTTTTATATACAAATAAAGATAAGATTGTAAGTTTTTTTTTGTTTTTGTTTCTAGTGGTCCTAGGTTTCGGTTTATTGCTTGTATCAATTGGTCTTTGCAACTGATATAATAATAATAATAATAATAATATAGGAATTTATACCACGCCTTTTGGGAAGAAATACAAGGTGCAATAAATTTTTAAAAAAGATAAAAATTGGCGATCAACAACGACACAATAAGCCATGCCCATGTATACTGTTGCTATGGTCTCACAAAAAGACAGTATAAAAACATACGCAAACAAGAGCGTTGTTTGATTGACACTCCGGAAAAAGGTTCATACGCACCTGTTAACACGGTAAGAAGATGAACCGAAACTTGCTGTTCTTCATTTAGGGATTGAAGAAGCTCTTGATCATTATCAATAACCACTTTGAGCATCTCCGTAAGCAGGAATTTTTTCATTACCGATGGCTTCTCTGGGTCTTCAAGCTGTTCCAGAGCACACCCCAAGCAAAATATAAGACCCGGACGAGAGCAGTTGAATGTCCACTGATCATCATGTGCAATGTGGTTAGATGTTAATAACATAAGTCCTGATACCGTGTTCATTTTGTATACTCTAGAATTATGAGAAAATAAATAACCAAATAACTTGTAATATGTTCATATTAATATACATCAGGAATCAAAAATACTTTGTCATCCTTGATAAAACAAGTGAGCAATGAAATTGTTTTTGCCAGTTGCTAAAAATACACTAAAAAACATAGGCATAGATTAAAATATGGTTTTAGTTCACAATAATGAGTAATGCAATAAGAAAGTAGTATTTGCATTGGGTTGGAATTAGGTAGGCCTAGAGAAGAAATGTCTAGGTAGGCCCATTCCTAGCTAGGGTGATTAACCTAGTACATCACAACACCAGGTGGCGCTCTTAGTTGTCAACCAGACATTGGTTACCATTGGTAAAGCGGTCATTACACCTGAATTACTTCATAATCTTAATTATTTAGAATAGGTTTTCTGGAATCGGCATTTTAAAAGTTGAAAACCTAAAAATTTACCATCAAAATGTATTAAACACAAAAGCTTGCATTTATTAGTTATCGAACACGTATTTAATCATCAATTAAAATTTACAAAGAAAATTAATATACATCATCTTAATAAATTACGTTAGAATTTGGGATCAATGGTTTGTCAGTAGAGACAATGGATCCGGTTGACCGCACTTTGGGTCACTGATAGCAATGGAGTACCTAGTACTAATGCTACTATAGGCCATAGTATCACATGTTATCGTGACGTAGGCCTAACACTATAGATAGTAACAGTGAAGTATTCTATGATGCCACAAAACTGGTACATGTGTTATGCCTGGCCCGACTCTCCAGACAAGCCTCCTGGCCTGGGTAGTTTCAGTAGGCCATGCCAAGCAAGGCCTTTTTCATTCCTTGCCCTTCCTAATGCAGGCAAGGCCTGCATCCCTACCTAGTACTAGGGCCTAGTAGGCCTAGTAGTAGTAGTAGGCCTAGGCCTAGGCCTAGTAATGTATAATTAATATATAGGCTAGGCCTCTAGGTAGACCCTTAGGCCTCTGCCTAGCCTAGGTAGGCTAGGCCTACCTAGTGACACACCGTGCAAAATACACAGACCAGCCACACTAAATATAAAAAAAAACAAGCAATAAAAGCTAGCTACTGTCTATACGTAAATTAGCCTACTTAAACCAAAAACTTTGCTAAAAATTACCGACGACGCCGATGGAAATATGAGGTCTCTCCGGTTCCAAGCTCAATCACATTTCTCATTGGTCAATAGTTCACTAGCCATTACGTCTATCGTGTGCCCCTCCCCCTCTTTATAATATTTATCACTACCTGGGATGCAGGTTTAGTACGTTATTATTTCGAATTTGATCATAATGAAAATGTATTGTTGTATTATTTAACCTTCTATTCGTTATCTGGCAAAATAACATTTGATTAGTGTAGTTAAATAATATCATAAACATAGCCCTCTTTGTTAACGACTGGAAAACACATAAACTCTTATTGGATATTTTTTAAGTATGCGGTACCTGGAGTACCTGTGTATATATTCCTAGAGACCTAACGTAAAACATTTAATTGAATAGAAGCCCAGGGCTTAATCTCGAGTTCGAAGAAGCCCATCTCGAATCGAAGCCCCATCTCTATAGTTTGCAAAAGTAGCCTCGGAAAGAAGCCCATCCAGAAAAGAAGCCATATTGGACTTTTTTTTCAAGAGCATGAGCTTTTTTAAGGGCTGGGCTTCAATTCGAGGTTTAATTTCTCCGAACGCGAACCAAATACTTTCTCATGTTTCAACTGACATTATTTTTTATCTATTTGGTATAATACAGACAACTGCAGCCAAAAACTGAAATGATTGTATTTACAAAAGTATATAAATATTAAAATATTATATTAAAAAATTGCAACAAGAAAGGGCAAAACATTAAAAATACATAAAAAGATATATCACATTAAAAAAAATTCCTAAACTTTGTTAAACACCTCCAAATTTTATTACATCAAAATACAAGAAGTATAAAAATAAAAATATTCTGTTAAAACACCTCCAAATTTTATTACATCAAAATACAAGAAGTATAAAAATAAAAATATTCTGTTAAAATATTACAACTGTAATAAAATATTACTAAATTCGGGTGTTGTTGAGACAAACTAATTTTAAAATAAGACGATCCTCTGTTTTGCGATCGTAATTTGCTATTTTAAGCCTCGTCTTTATACGTGAGGATATATGTAACTGATTTTACTATTAGATGATGGCCTGGAATTGTATTTCATCTCTCATTTCATGGATTTAATAAAGAGTAACAAGAACGTAACAATATTTCCTTATTATAATAACTAAAAAAAAATAATTTTTTTTGGTAGGCAGATGATGTAAAGTGTCAACTTGCTTGTCGAGATGAATCTTGACGTTATTTATTGTTAGGATTACAATGTATTGTTAGAAATACAATTGTTTTCTGTATTATTAAACGATGAAGAAAAGGGCTCGTCTAAAATACATTTGAAGAAATAGATAGATATTTCACGTGATTATATACACTATAGGTTTTCTCCAGGTTAGAACATGTTATAACAAAAATGTGACATGTCTAAATATGGTCATGATGACATCACAACATGACCATATGCATGAATATCATGACTATATATGGGCATACAATATTGCCAATATTTGGTAGTTTGGACAGGGCTTAACGCGGCTAAATTCAGGGGCGGATTTAGTGGGGGAGGGGTGGCCTTTTGGGAGGTAAAAAAAAGAAAGAAAGAAAGAAAAAAAAAATGATAGCCCAGAACGCCTCAAATGTTATTTTCGGGCGTCAGAACATTTCGCGGGCCCCCTAGGACAGTGTTGTCTCGATCGGCCCAACTTTCGTCCCCCTTTCATTCCCACTACCCCTTTTGGACACCTCTTCCTCCGCCCCTGAATTAACTGGTGTGTGTGTGTGTGTGTGTGTGTGTGCGTTAAACTATGGAGTTCCTTTCAGATCTTTGGTCTCTGGTTCTACGTTTCAGCTTGAGGGTGAGAATTTGTTCGGTCCGGTATACCGTCCTGACGGTCCCGTATTTTATGGTCCCGTATTCGGCACATACTTTAAAGAAGACCGCCTAAGATTTAACTCTTTGGTGTACCGGTATTGCTTTATTCACCATCAGAAAGGCCCCACTACAAACAAGTATTATAGGGGTTTCCTTAAGTGCGTTTCCCACCAAAATAATAGTATCTTGATTTCCTCACAAGTCATAATTATTATTTCGAATCACACTTGCAATTATTTTTACATTCCACAAGCACTTTCAAACAACACTAAACTATAGTACATGTGTGCTAGTTACCATAGGTTTCGGTGTTCGGTGTAAACCAATGGGAACCGTTTAAACCAGTCACGATCCTTTCTTAATCAGACAACCGGGGCTCATTGAGAAATAATTATTGAATCAAATATGCGGCACACTTCAAGTCCGCTAGCCGATTGGTTGATATTATCAATGCCCTGGACACCTTCCCTTTTTCTGACTACACAGCACTATTATAATTGTGACATTCTTCTAGTTCTGCAAATTCCAACTGCATACCAAGGGTGTAACTTGTGACGTCATAATTTAACGGTACTTATCGGATATCACGCCGATTGGCTAATACGAAAAGGGGCGGATCCAAGTTCATTGACTGGCCAATAGTTGGTTACGCCGTCCCTCCTCAGAATAGCTATCTCTAAGGATAGTCTGTACCCCTCTGCATTGGTTGCAATTCCTTGCAATCAACCGGCTGCTTGAATTTAGGATCTTCCTGGTCCTCTCACTTCTTCTGTTTCGGAGGTAAGTGTATAAAAAAAAAAGTACATAAGTTTTGTTGCCGAGGTCTTGTGTGGATTTATACATCACCAAGTTCATCAACAGAAAAACAAGATTACTTTCGGATTTTTAAATATCATCTCGTGCATTTTGTTTGTGTTTTGTGTTGCTATGACCGTCAAGTTCTTGCTGTTTGAAGACTTATCTGTAAGATTGTTCTTTATTTCTTAAATTAATTTTCCGTTACGTAATAATATTATTATTACGTTACGTAAAAATGATTTGTTATCAGGACTATAAAACTGACCTATTAGGATGCATATACAAATGATATAATTATATAGAAACATTTTTTGTCGTTTAAATGTCCGAAGTTGTCGGAAATGTATATTTAACACGTGAGTTACAACAAGAACATTTTTTTTGTAATGATTATCCGTTATGTTAGTTCTGTAATCGGTAAGCCAATGAGCCACATTATTAATTACATATTTATATCCCGGGCATACTATTATACAAAAACCTTAGAATAATGAGACATAGGGATAAATGATATATTTCCCTTTAAAAATTAGAGCAAGAATATATTTTCATCTTCTATAAACAGACGCAGGAAAAATACAATTCCTTAACATTATTATCATAAAGTTTCCCGACAATCAATTAAAGAGTCTATAAACCAAAGAAAACATAATTTCTGTTGATCTACGTCTTGAAATATTATAAATATTAGAATTTTAATTAATAATTAAATGTTTTGATTATGTTTGCTTTCTTTTCTGCATAGTATCAAGCGATTAAACAAAAGGTAATATTGTTGGCGCAGAGGGAGGAAGTTATATTATTAGAATGTTCAAGATTCAACCAATTATTGATGAAAATTAAATTGTTCAGGTTTTTTTTTCAAATACTGTATAAACATAAATAAAAAGTTTGTCAATTTAGTTTATTGCTTAAAATATTCAGATTACTTATATAGTTATATTTAAAAAAAAAGTTAATATAAAATTCTTAATTATATCAAACATCTTTTATTTCCTATACTACATTATGTTTATGTTCGAGGCTATATATTTGTTTATGTTTCGTTTAACCATGTGGGTTTTTTATTCTGATTGATTGGAGCGTGAAATCGACTGTCTGCATAAAAGCTAGCCATAAGCCTAGCCCAGCTCGTTTAGATGTAACATCACCACGTTTATACGAATAATTACATAATGCAAACGTTCGTTATAAAAAAATTAGTAGGAATGGCATTCTACCGCAGGTATTCTACACTTAGATTATGAAAACGATTCAGGCCTAGATCTGTAGGTGTGGTGGAGGACCTATCCTAGGAAGGAGGCCCTCTTAGTTAGAGTAGGCCAAGTACTACTATAATACTACTGTACTGCTAGCTTAGGCGAACTGTGTGTGTAATCATAGAGATATTATTATGTACTATTATAGCTCCTGGTGTGATGGTACTGCCTTCTGTCGCCATCATCCAAGCCTACACTAAGCCAAAAATGTTTTTATTTTATTTCTTATTTACACTACACTCGGGTCGAGGTGACCTCAGTTCAAAAGCACTAGATTATAGTATTATATCTATGCAGCATTTTGGAATACATTTCAAATAATAATATTATATGTGTTATGTATATAATATACATAAATAAACATCAAATAGTGTTTACTTATATGTAAACAAATAGATAAATATTATTATCAGTGCTTGAATGGTAAAAAGATGTTGTAATCGTGTCAAACATAGCCCTTCAGCAAAAAGTTCCTTTATTCAGTTGTATGACAAAAAAAATGTCTCAGGTGGGATTTGAACCTGCCACCTCTCACTATCAAGGCAAGTATCATACCCATTAAACCATGGAAAGCTAGGGTTTATGCACAGATCTAACCCCCTGGCACTTCCTGTCATACAACTGACTGAAATGCTCGCACATAGTGTAGCTATGGTTATTTTCTTAATTTTTTATATTTAAACCAATTTTTATTATTTTTATGCTGTGAAGTGCATAGAAGCTTTTTCATGCATTATGTACTATACAGTGCAAACACTATATAGATGAATAGGTAAATGATAATAACACTACTCGAACAGACAAGATTTTATAATCGTATCAAGTATAGGCCTTCAACAGAAAGTTCCTTTATTCAGTTTAATATATGAAAAAAGATTTCATTTTATGTTCACAATTTTTTTATATACATAACATATAACAAGATGTTTAGAGTTTTGTTGTATTAGTATTTATTTAAATGTATATTCTTGAAAGTTCTTGTTATTTAATATGCTTAAGATGAGGATGTATCATTTATATCTCTGTTATTCACAGAAGGCCCATGTTTGAATCATGGTTGGGGAAAATTTGCATATATGCAATATGTAATATGATATGTATATTTAAATTAGGTTTGTGTAGCACCATAAACAATATATAAAAAATAGATAAATAATGATAAACAAAAAACAAATAGATAAATAATAACAGTGTTTGAGCCAGTTGTATTATAGGTTTGATTATCTATTTGTATTTACGGTGCTACACAGCAAACCTAATTTGAATTTTTTTACTATGATTTCCAATCTGCTACCGATAAACCTTTTTATACAACACCTATGTATATTCTATTAACAGAACATCCAATCATTCACCTCATGAAATATTCTATCCCACTGCACTCATAGACATTCATTATTTGTATACTACTAGTACTAGGTTATTTATAGCTAGAATATGTGGGAGCATTTCAGTCAGTTGTAATAAAGAATGTGCCTGGGGGCTAGATCTGCATGTATTAACCTATAGGTCTCTGTGGTCTAATGTGTATGATGCTTCCCTTGATAGCAAGAAGTGACAGGTTCAAATCCTGACAGAAATCTGTTTTCATTCAACTATTAGAACTTTGCTTGATACGAATGTAGGTTTGTATATAGTGTCTTTACGGTGCTATGTAGCAAAACTAATTTTCCTGCTGTAACCTACAAGATAGTTGCTTTACCTTAGCTCCACTATGCGTGAGCACAAAATTGATTTGTATAGAAAAGGTGTCTGGAGGTTAGATCCGCGTCGATATCCTATAGGCCTTTGTGGTCTAATGGCATAACACTTGCCCTGATAGCGAAAGCTAACAGGTTCAAAGCCCGTCAGACACTTTTTTCCCATACCACTGAAAAAGAAACTTTTCATGAAGAGCTATGCTTGGCACGTTAAGACCATAATATGTTCCTAGTCGAACACTATTTGGTTTATATTGTGTTTACAGTATTTATGTAAATCTTTACTGTAATCTGAATATGTGTACTATGATTTCCCCTCTGTGACCTACAATGTTAAATCTCATGAATTTTTTGTACAAGTTCATGTGTTCAGTAACTTTTAATGCCATATAAATACGATAGCAGCCTCAGTGGCAGAGCCAGGAATTTGAAATGGGGAGACCCAAAAAGACAATTTTTACTGATGGATGCTCCTAGGCCACGTCAGCCCCAACATCGCTGGGGCTGAGGTAGAATATTGTATGTTTATTTAGCACTTTTTTCTGTCTCCCACCTTGAACCCGCTTCAGTGTTGGGTTATCATTTTCATGCGTGCGTACACATCAATAATAATTTGAATTATAAACAACAACTAAAATCATCAGTCTACAATTGGATATAAGTTGTTTAGAATATAGTTAACCTAGACTCTTAGATAGGTCAGCGGCATATTTGTCTGATGAATCAGAAAACAGTTTTCTGACTGCATATCATTGAATAGTTTGAGAAATTTCCCACTTAACATATCCAAATATATTTATCAAGTTCATCAACATCATCATTGATTAATATAGTCTAAATAGTATTTTTTATATTGTTATTATTTTATATTAATTTTATAAATAATATTTATAATTTATATTATATAATTTATTTGTTGTTGTAGATTATGATGTAAAAAAAAAACTATTTAGCTATATTTCTATGGCTGTATATAAAGATGTTTTGTAAGTTTAATAAAACGTTTCTTTCTCATTCTAGCATTCTGCTCATTTCGCTGTTTTCCTACCTCCTCTTTGAATTTCTCAACGAAACACCAAACCAGTCAACATGGGTGATGATCCAGAACAATACCTGAGGCTTGACCCTAAAGCCCAGATGGAGGCCACTACCGCACCTTTTGACAGTAAAAAGAACTGCTGGGTACCTGATGAGAAAGAGGGCTTTGTGAAGGCTGAGGTGCTGTCCACCAAAGGTGACATGGTCACTGTCAAGACCGTCTCTGGAAAGGTGGGTAGTCTAAAGCCCTGTGCAGACTATCAAATTTTATTTGACAAAAACATGCGACATGCCCAAATATGGTCATGATGACATCACATTGTGACCATGTTTGGGCACATGATGACCATATTTGGGCATACAACAGTTTTTTGTCAAAGAACATTTGATAGTTTGGACAGAGTTTTGGGATTATTTGGAATATCATGGAGAGAGTTAAGATGGAGGGCAAGTATGATAAATGATGGTAATGACAACAATGATGATGATGATGGTGGAGGTTATAATGATGATAATGATGATGCTCATCTTGTTTAGTACTCCCATATTGTGACTATGTTGTGTCTAGTGGAAATTGGTAATATTCCAAACTTAATAATAATTTGGCAACCAATTTTTTTATGTAGGTGTATGCATATAGTAGATTATTATTAGGATGTGCACTGGGTTTAAGTACAAATAGTATGAATGTCACTCCAAAAATTGACAAGGCCATTTTATTCAACGTTTCGCTGTTATTTAAGCATCATTATTATCATCATTAATTGATAATTTAATTTGGTGTTGAGTTCCATAGTGTTTGATCTAGTGACCGGGGTGGTAATGTGCTTAGAGGCTTTGTGCATGAAGCGCTATATAAGAACGACATAATATTATTATTATTATTATTATTATTATTATTATTATTATTATTATTATTATTATTATTATTATTATTATTATTATTATCAGGTATAATAAATTTAATACAAAGATACAAACTATATACAGTATCAGTTTCCAGAGATCATAATTAATATGCAATTATTTAAATGAGGTAATTATCCAATCAGAGTGAAGTGGTATCATAGTGAGAAAGTACTGTATATTGCGAATAAACAGTTCTGAGACAAAGGGTGTGTTTATGCCAGTTTTTTGGTGTCTAACAAGGGGTAAATCGGGAAATGGCAATTTCCAGTTCTGCCCAAACGGGTGTTAAACGCGGATCACCTGCTGATATCCGCTGATAATCCAATGCTGCAAATTGCAGTGTTTTGAAAGAGCAAAAGTAGCATGCTTTAGCAGTAGGGAGCAGTTATTATCACTTAATCCTCTTTGATTGTTTCAACACGCACCAGTCGAAGTAAAGTCTGTTTAAATTTTCATGGTCCCTATTTATTTTACAGTTTATTTCTAAAAACAAAACTGAAAAGCTCGATAAAATAAATTATTTCAGCTGAGGGCTAGCCTAGAATCCAGATCGTTACCTTATTACATATCATATTACATGATCATGGCACCACTGCTTATTCGTTTAACAGTGGTAGTAATTTTCTGTTTTTAAACTACAATTGTCAAATGAAAGAAAGTTTATTCATGGTTTATATGCCCAAAATTCACATCTGCGATTTATTGCGAGTTTGCAATGTATGCTTTATTGTTATTTAGCTTCTTTGGTAATTTCTTTACTTGATTTTGAGACAACAACCTTATGCAGTGGACCAATGACAAAGTCTGTTTCTTAATTAAAGCGTGGGGTGACGCAAGGGTCCAGGACAACTTGATAGGAACTCATCATTTGGGTTTTTTGAAAGCCGAGTTCTGCACGAACCGGTAGACCACCCACGGATGTAGTATAAACGAGAAAATATAAAATATAATCCATGATGAAGATGGTGATGAATGTGGTGGTAAGATGTTGTGTGGTAAGGATAAGGATTATGATGATGGTAATATTGGAATATGATATTGATGTTGGTAATGGTAAGAAATATGATATTGATGTAGGTAATGGTAAGAAATATGATATTGATGTAGGTGATGGTAAGAAATATGATATTGATGTTGGTAATGGTAAGAAATATGATATTGATGTAGGTGATGGTAAGAAATATGATACTGATGAAGGTGATGGTAAGAAATATGATATTGATGTTGGTAATGGTAAGAAATATGATATTGATGTAGGTGATGGTAAGAAATATGATACTGATGTAGGTAATGGTAAGAAATATGATATTGATGTAGGTAATGGTAAGAAATATGATATTGATGAATTTTCATATTTAGCAAGTAACACTCAAGAAAGATGATACTCAACAGATGAACCCTCCCAAGTTTGACAAAATTGAGGATATGGCCAGCATGACCTTCTTGAACGAAGCTGCTGTACTCGGAAATCTCCGACAGAGATACGTATCCGGTCTCATCTATGTAAGTTTTTTCACTTATTCTTTTACTCCCGTTTTACTCCTACTTTTGAAGTCCTAAAGATGTGGACTTGCTCTCCGGAACAAGAGCCAGAACTTAAGGAATTTTAGTGTCCAAAAAGAAGGAACTTATTTAGAATTTGATTATTGCATGGTTGTGTTAGCCAGGGCTGGGTATGATTCAATTAAATTCAATTCAAAGTAACCTTTATTGCAATTTGTAAACAAATTGAAGCTTTAACAATTAGAATCGGAAAAAAGTAGACAAACAGGAAAAATACCAGACAATAATTAATTAAAATTTCAATCACATCTCAATAATGTTTAAAAAGGTGAAGTAGTAAAAATAAATATGGTAAATGTTAGTTTATTAGGTAATTATTTAGATTTAAGATTAATATGTGTTAGTGTAGAAATTGGACAATTCACATAGAGCAAGATACGCATCACATCTAAGACCGGGTTTCCGCAGCATTTACAATTTCTTCAATAAATTATAAAATTCGATCCAAATATTTTATCCCATCATGCAATATTATGGAAAACAATGCAATGTGTTTAACACTAGCACATCCGTTTTGTTGACCTAGAAAATGACACTTTATTGCGCGAAATGTAGGCCTAGGGCCAAGAATAAAAATTATACGGTACTATTTCACCCTGGGAAATGTACTGTTGCAATGATATTCATTGTACTTCTATATAAGGATTGAGAAAAAGACGAAAAAGAATGCTAACTTTGTTTGGGGTACTTACAGTATAATAAACAATAGGTAGGGATATACCAAAGCCCAGCCAGGCACTGTTGACATCGAACGTAGCCTTTTAAAGTTTTTTTTTCAAATATTTAATAAGCACAAAAAATTTACTCACTTTTTATTATGAAGTGTCCGCTAGCTTAGGCTTCAGGCCTACTAACTTCTAGGTCTAGTCGCCTTTCAAACTAACTACCCAAAATAATTCTTTGCATGACCGTGGTTTGACATCGGTCAAATGTTATTTTTTTTCGCATTCAGAGCTTTTTCCGGTAAATTAGCTGATTCTCAAACAGAATTTTATAGAAAACTTTTGGCCTCATTTCGCAGCGAAAAATAACAAAATGGCTGTTTTCCGATAATTTATCAGATAATAAGTGCTGAGTGAGATTACGAAGATGTAAGATAATCATTATTATAAACTATAAACTTTTCCAAATAGATTCCATAAAAATTAACCAAATTTTGCCAGGTCGATGTTGAGATAGTTTGAAAATGGACATCTCAAGCTTCCAAGTCCTCTGATAAACATCTGCTTTTATTTGAAACCCACTTCATTTGAATCCTTTTTATTGAAGAAATCTGAAGCATCGCATTCAAAAGATGCATTCTTCATGGAAACCATAACCATGAATTAATATATTTTTGTTTATTTTGTATTGTAAAATATTATGAAGAAAATAATGCACCAGTCAGGGGAACCCTGGGAGCCCCAAACATGGATAAGTGTTTCAGATCCAATAAATCAGCTCCCAGTTATAGATTCATTGAGAAATGTAGGAATGCTGTAAAGCATATCTCTTGTATTTAGACTCAAGCCATGTGGTTAAACAGCTGACATGTTACCTCCTTATATGGAAAGGTCTGTATGTTGATGAAGATGTAATTCTTGTGACCTTCCAACAAATGGCCCTGAACATGTAGGCATTTATCCATCCATCTTATTGCTTGACCTGTCATACTATATATAGTAAATACTATAGAATAATTTAATTCCACTAATACCAAAAAGAAAATTGTTTAGTGTTTGCATGCATACTTTGCACTCTCATACTTTAAAAATCTTACCGGTACCACAGATCCTATAAATCACAGATAAAAATCATCAATACAAATTCCTGCATCCACCCCAGGTATAAAATGCAGAGGCTTTGATACTTATTAAAGAGCTTTTGAATGCAAAACAACGGTAGGACGTACAGTAGAACGTAATGACGTGAGTAAAAGTCATTTGCGCATGCGAGAACGTTAAGGTCACCTCGTCGAGTAGATTCTGAAACGCAATTTAGCCAAATCTACGTATGCAGACAATGTAAGACGCCAGGTAGGACTGTCACGCATGAGTGATTTCGCACAAATTGAAGGCTCCCTATTACTAAAAAGGTGGATCTGTACTGTTGATTCATAGAGCAGTTTATCACTGTTGACAGAACTGGCGGTAGCCAAGGTGTGTGTGCTGATCCTTTTACTTGGTTCTATTCCTTGCGATTCAACTGGAAGGTTGAAATGCAATTTTCTCAGATGTGATTTTTAAGCTGTTAAGCTGTTAAGATGAACATGATACATACAAAATTTGTATGTGTTGCACGTTTAAGACTATTCCCTGTTTTTCAATCGTAATTTGCTATTTAAGCTTTAACTTATATGCGAAAATATAAGTTAGTTAAAATATTTCATTCAATTTTTCCAATATTGGAATTCTTTTCTTTTTTCAAAATAAGGTGTTGAAATGAGATTCTGCATAAATAACAATAAAATGGATTTTAACAGGATTCGAGAATTACAAGATTAAAAAAAAAAAAAGAATTTAACTTCAACATTTCTAACACTAAGGTTGAACTACTCCATAAACAACAAAATCTATTCATTGGTCCTTCACTAGTTCCTTAGTTATTTTTGTCCTATGTTTTGGTAAGTACCAGAACAGACTTTTATCCAATAGAATTTTGAGAAGCTTGGGTACTTGTAACTAATCCAAATTGGAGCAGAAACCTTGATTGTATTTAAAGACAGTATAATGAAAATGAAGTTTAAATAAATCCACATTGAAATTGATTGTGTAACAACAGGATACCCCTCCATGTCTGATGAAGTCACATTCTTAGGTGTTAAGTAAAAATCTAAAAGGCAATGGCCACATTATGACAGATTTAGCAAATATTAACGAGCCTTCTATGCTTTACATGGTGCGGGCATGTGTAAATGTGGTTCATCAACGGATGTCAAGTTACACGTCTGGAAAACTGTTTTGGTACCAATTGTGACTTAACGGCCTGCAATGCAGTAATTTATTTTTATTATTTATAGAAAGTAGATTTGTCGTTACACCAGAACTTAAATAATAAGTTGACCATCCCTATCAGGTGTATTGTTGGTTTTACCTTTGGCTATTACTATACTGTAGTTTGTTTTCACACAATGTTTTTGTTGTCACCTGTTTACAAAACATGTGTGCCTTATGCCTGGCATTTACTTGACCTTTTACTGTAGTTTAAACACAAGAGTTGAATTATGATCCTGTAAGTGCCAGTCTGAAGATGTACTTTTGGCTTGGCTTGTCTCTGTTCATATAAAAATATGGTCTGTCCATACCCTGTCCCAATTCCCTCTACACCTACCATCTTTATTTATATATTATTACCATGTTTGGCAAACCCTGCTGATAATTTTTTTTTTTATATATTAAAAATATAATAAAATTTGATAAAAACTGTGGAACAGGAAACAAACATAAAAAAGATATTAAGAAATATAGAAAAAAGTGATTTAAATTAATTTTTTCTGAGAATTAAATAAATATTAATTTATCAGTGCAATTAAATTGCATTCAAAATGACATCACGGATCTGAAGACCTGTCCACACAAAAAGCATGTGACATGCCTAAATATGGTCATGGTGACATCACATGGCCATATATAGGCACATCATGACTATATATGGGCATACAACAATTTTTTGTGGTCATGATGACATCACATTATGGCCATATATAGGCACATCATGACTATATAAGGGCATTCAACAGTTTTTTGTGATCATGATGACATCACATCATGGCTATATATAGGCACATCATGACTATATATGGGCATACAACAGTTTTTGTGATCATGATGACATCACATCATGGCTATACATAGGCACACCATGACTATATATGGGCATAAGGAAATTTGATAATCTGAATAGAGGTTTAAGTGGGGACTAAGTGTTAGCTCATATTAGCATACTAGATATTTTTTTTTAATTCATCAATAACATTTAGTTTTATTTTTATGAAATTATGTGGAAAAACAAAAGATAGCAATTAAGAAAAAACATAATAATATTTTAATGTTTTTTTCACAACTATAAGTTAATTAATCTTCCAATTAAAAGAAATGATATGATATTAGACCTAGGGAAGGCCTATTATAAATAAAACAGCATGATGCGTCGGCTGGCGAAGACTGGCTTGTAGCCAATCACTAGCCTATATTTGGTCAGGGAATGCCAGGCAGTAAATGCCAAGGATACTTCTATGAATGGACCAGTGAAGAAGGCACTGCTTACTTACTGGCTCCAGCTGCTGTCCAATCAACAATAATTATACAGAAGCATATTATTTATTTATTTATTTAATCTGTTTAACTATTCTCAATAGTTATTGTACTGATTAGAAACATTTGTTTATATTGTTAAAGATGTATTGTTCCTTGAAAATGACCAAAAATTATAAAAAAATTTTAATTTGCTCATTTTGCAGTAAAATACATAGTATTAACTTATTTAATTTAAAAAAAAATATGTACCCTGATTTATCAACTCTAGATAATTATACTAAAGATAATAAAACACTTCCACTTGCTGTAATGATTGGTAAACATGTTTTAAATACACTATAAAGCAAGACTCTTTTTGTATCTTGTTTAGCGAACCCATCGAACGCAAATATTGAAGATTTCAAATAAAAAGAAAATTATATTTTTTTATCCAAAGATAAGATATCTATATTTCTTCCTAAATGTATAAATTTGAAGCACCTAACCATCCCATTTTACATTGACCAATAACATTTTTATTTTCTCCTAAGTCTGGATGTTTTTGGCAAAACTATATGCTAAATAAGAAAACAAAATTTCAAAAATTTACCTCACTTTGAAGAGAAATGTGTTAAATAAAAGGGAATGGATGTATCAAGCTTTATAAATATTATAATAAAGTTGTTTTTTTTTTGTCATGGAGTTCCAAGTCCTTGAAGATTTTATGAAACTTATGTTATTGAAATTTGTAATTCAAAGATTTGGGTGTGTCTTCTAGGGTCTACTGATGACCACTTATATCTTTTGTTGACCCTGTCATGTGATTGGCATTAATTGCCATCATTTAATGCTGGTCAGGCTTGATCAAGGATGAATGATCACAGGTGATAGGACTTATCTCTTTACCTTTGTCCACAAGTGGGCTATAAAAGTTTAAACATAAATAGAATGAATACAATTAAAGTTAAGCACCAAGAGTTTAAACAAACAATACTGAGCACTAGACAATCAAAGTTCTTGATGCATCATCAAACAACATCAGACTTCACACCAAGTTTTAGGGATATTGCTGTGGTGGATGCAGGATTTACAATATGGGTGCGCGAGAGTCCATCACCTCAGCCCCACCATGGTTTAGGGTGAGGTGAGACGATTTTGAGATGGACCTGTAGGTGCCTGGAAGTTATACTCTCATGCCTAATAAATCTTACTGGAATTCATATCAACAATACAATACAACAATTATTTTCCTTATACTATTTAGGGGTGGGGTGCTATCGCACCATTGGCACCCTCCCCCTGCCCTTGCCCCCCCCCCTTCCTGCCCAGTATTTAATTATTTTTAGTACAGTGCTAAGCTCATAAACAATTTAAATCCTAACCCTTTTGACAAACTGATACGGTGGGTTGTTTTATTTATTTATTTTTTTCTTTAGATAAATGTAGGCCTATAACATGCTAGAGCTGAAATTAGACCCAAAATCTCTGTGATATCATTATATCATCTCTGTTGCTTGCCTGTGAAATATAGGGTTTTATCTTGTACATTCTTGTGGAAGAAACATTATTAGCTGATGGTACTACATAGCCAATGTGGATGGTAAGAAACACAGTACACCTTTTGAATAAGCTAGGATTATCTTGGTTTACTGTAGAAATTAACTACCAGGGATGGGGTTGTACTGTATACGTTGTGGGTCCCACGGATCTCCTAGTCCATCGGGACCCAGCCTCTATTTTCCTACTGACAACTAGAACAAACTGAGTTATTGTGACTTCAACAATTTATTTTTTCCCATCTGCAAATCTCCATTATTTTGCTCAGAACCTTAATGAAGTGAACCATAAAATTAAAGCTTTAATTTATTTTTGCAAATTCATGAGAAAAAGATTAAAATGTGCCTGTACATAAATCAACTTCTTATCTTCAAAGTATTTACAATGGGGCTAGCATTAGAAACGTGAGAGCGTTCCTAATTGATTTGTGGCTGAATCAGAGCGCAGTTGTTAACTAGAAATTTGATTAAAGTTTGATGGAATGTTGGTTTTACCTTCTCACTTCACATTAAAGGTGAAAGGTTGGCCTTGATTAGTTCTCCTCTTGTTTATCATTGAAGTGCTGTATACTTAAAATTTAAAATATGATGGGATTGTTCATTCTGTCCTGTGGACAATATAATACTTCACCAAATATGAACAGCATGAGAAGTATAAACACTAAATTAGGAATTTCAAGTGTATTTTGTTGTAAAAGAACATAAGAACATATGTCATAATCATTATTTCATTCATCACTATTAAATTGCAATTTGGCCATTAGCTATGATTAGTTACAAACTGAGATTACTATAAGGCCAAAAAAAAAAATCATTGTATTGGCCATGCCTGACCGACCCAAATTTTACGAAATTAAGGGTCGGCTTTTAGTTGGTTTTTTTTTTTTTTTTTTGACAACAAGCAATATTTTTTTATGAGCAAATATGGCTGGAATAGCCTTGGCAAAGGTTAGGGGGCCATAAGGCTAGCCTATTTTGCTGGATGGCATGTGATGCGAATCTAAAAATGTTGTATTTTTTGTGCATTTTCTACTTTTTAGGCATAAAACACATATTTGGTTGTTTAAAAAAAAAAAAAAAAAAAATTTCCTTCCGAACCTACCCATTTTTTGGATTTTGTCAAAATGTGGCCAACACAAAAATTGTCTTTTTTTGGCCTAATGATATACTGTATAACATAATTTTGTTGAAGTGATCATTAATAGATTTAAAATAAAAGATTAATCTTTTTCCATTTCGATATTGTTTTTGTCTTAATGATCCTACAAAATTATTTATGCATTATGGCCTGTTTATACTTGCAACGATAACAATAACAAGCTAAAACGCAATTTTTCATATAGAAAATAAAAGAACTGATGCAAGTTTTTACACTTATACGATTCGATAACAATTTATCGTCTCTACGATAAGAAAATATTTTCACAAATCAAATCAAATAACGTCATAATAATCATGGGAAAACGATGAAATCGTAGTAGTAAAGAAAATTTTATCGTTTTCCTATGATTATGACATAATTTGAGTTGATTTGTGAAATTATTCATCATCGTATACGTAATAAATTGTTATCGAATCATGCTAGTGTGAAAATTTATTTTATTTTCCCATGAACAATTGCTTTTTAGCAAGTATAAACGTGCCTTAAAATAACCAACTCTGCAGCCCAGATTTCATAAAAACCAATAAGGTAGAGTACAATACCTCCATTGAGATCCATCATTCCTCATATGGTTCCACCAATGATATTGAAACATTTACCGAAACATTATTTGGGACCAGATGTTATATGAAAGATCTATAATAGTCAAAATCTGTTTTTTGAAATCACAAAAAAGTAATATGTTTATTTCATTTCAACTGTTATGTTGCAATGTGTGTTTAGTTTGTGCCTTTTTTGTCCCTGTGGATAGGATTTCTTTGTTTTTTTGTTTTTTTTTCTGCTTTTGGAAAAAAAATTATGCCATGATGACATCTCATCATGGCCATATATAGGCACATTATGAATATTAATGGGCAAACAACAGTTTTTATCAAAGGAGAATTGTAGACAGAGCGTGTGAGGATCCAAAAAACTTATTGCACATCTACAGATTGCCTACTTGCGGTAGTTTTATATTAGTATAGTGTCCTCCTTTGGGACATCCCTATTAGAGGGACACCCATACTATTAAGGTCACACAAAGGTACCTCCTTTTAAATAGGGATCCCTGGGGTGGATTGGATGAGGATTTGGTGATATTGGGTGTGTGAGAATGAGAAAATTTTGAGAATATGGACCTCTACAGTAGGTGCCTGAAAATTGCAACTCGCATACCAATTAACAACTTTATCAGTAATGACCATATTCATATCAAAAATACAATGCAATTTAGAGGTGTTCGATTTTACCGTGTGCTTCCCCTTGCATCCGCCCCAGGATTCTACTGTATTATAATTACAATATATTGGTGAATTATTCTAATACTCTATTGTACATGGATTCTATCTCTCTGACAGACCTACTCAGGATTGTTCTGCGTTGCTGTCAATCCATACCGCAGACTTCCCATCTACAGTGACAAAGTTGTTGCCCTCTACCGTGGAAAGAGACGTAATGAGATGCCACCTCACGTGTACGCAGTTGCTGACAATGCTTACTATGACATGTTACAAGGTAAGTTGCCCTCATCTTGCAATATAAGAAACATAGAACCATGCAAGGACCATGTAATCGTAAGAGCCATAGAGCAACCATGCATAAAACTATAATGGTCAATGGTTGTGCAATTGTATAGTGGGAAATTCAATCTTTCGAGTCGGCATATATTCTATATTTTGTATTCTTTTGAAAATAATTTTAAGAAATAGATGACCTCCCCCCCCCCCCATTAAGAAAACTTTTAAAATAGTCAGACTGTTTACTGTCACTTTCTACTGAATTGTTTACCAATGGCTTTACCTTTAGAAATATTGAAGATCTTCACCCACTCAAAACAGACATTTTTCGGACTAATGTCAAATATGAATGAAAGAAAAAGTAAATATTTTGCCTACCATATGCAATCAGGAGAGAAAAACACTGCTAGTTTTGTCTATATACCTAGGACATTGTGCTGTTCATTCTTACTGTATTACAACCAATTTTTCCTGTTTAAAGACGTCTTATTGTACAAGAGCAAAATGGAAGACTAAATTAGTGTTCCGTATATACTCAAGTATAAGGTGACCCGCGTATAAGACAACCCCTGAGTTTAAGAAGATTTTTGGACGATTTATGTATGTTGGCCGTCATCACTGCAACTCCCAGTGTTATTTGCCTATTCCCCACCGTCCAATAATTTTTCAATTAGTGGACGCTTGGCTTGATTTTTTTTAGGTTCATGTGCAAAAAAAATCCTCATTTTTTTCGTCACCGCGAAGACATTGTGCACCGCGATGAAAATTGAATTGTAATTGAAAATTACTTTCGTAAAACAAACTTAATTAAAACCTGAAGGAAGTTACTTTATAGTGTACTATGTAGATCTCTACTAATTGCTTAGTTGCTTCATTGCAATAGTAAATTCGCGTGTTATGGATGATCCGCACATACAACAAAAATGATATCATAAATCTGAAATGTGTATGTCATGCGTATCTCCAGTTTTTCAATTGTAAATTTGCTATTTTAGCCTCGTCTTATACGCGAGTACAGTATTTTTTCATGGCTCAACCATAATCCATTTCAATATACCATGCATTATTACAAGAGAACGTCCCTGTTTAGTCTTAAATATCTTTCTTGTGTATTTATGTCCTATAATAATATATAGGTATTTATTATTTATTAGTTTGTTTTGAAACTTTTAAAGAAAATCCTTTTTAAAATTAATTAAGTTATGAAATTTTAACTTTGTTTATTTAACTGAACCACTTTGAAAAACCAGTAATGAAAGATGCTCCAGAATAAAATAAGAATGAATAGATAAAATGCTAATTGGTGAAGTTTTTAGGAGCACACACAAATATCCAGATACTAGTACGATGTATCCTATTTTGAAAATGCAGTCACCTGTAACACGGAGGTCATGCCTGTACCATAGTTGTACTATAGGCCTAAGTCCTAGTCAGATCATTGCAGGATATGTGGCAAAGACAAGCCAAACCAGTCACTCGTCGGAAAAATCAATTTTTAGTTAATAATACAGGGTTTAACAGTAAAATGAGAGCTATAAAATGGTAAAAGAATCATTTAAATCCAACACTTGTTTATGAAGTTACATGAGTTTAAACATACAGCTGTTTAAAGAACAATATTTGAGAAATCAGCTTTCAAAGTTTACGATTTCAGGCATTTCTTATGCAGAAACCATCACCAAATCGTTAACAATTGTTGTTTTAACATTGAAAATGAGGAAAGTAACAGCATAGCATGATGTATAGATATATAAAGGTTAGTTTAGTGCAATAAAATAGATTTCCAAAATTTTGACATTCCAGCATGTTTTGGCCATTATCTCCAAAACAGGATTTGCGACGAGTGACTGGTTTGGCTTGTC